GCCAAGTAATGCTTTACCCTCTGGCCGTTTACCACAAAGCCTTGTCCATCTTTTCCTTTCAAAACCACGGCTCCATAGGGTCTTACTTCAAGAATCGTGAACGGACCGGACCACCTAGGCCTCAGCTTCCCAGGGAACAGCTTGAGTCTTGAGTTAAACAACAGAACTTGGTCCCCTTCTTTGAACTCTCTCTTGTGTATCTTCTTGTCATGGAGCGCCTTGGTTCTTTCTTTGTAGATCTTAGAGCTCTCGAAAGCATCTAACCGGATCTCCTCAAGCTCATGAAGCTGTAAAACCCTCTTCTCTTGTGGGGTCTTGATGTCAAAGTTCAGAAGTTTCACTACCCACAAGGCTTTGTATTCCAACTCAACCGGTAGATGACAGCTCTTCCCATAGAGCAAGTTAAACGGTGAGGTTCCAATGGGGGTTTTGTAGGCGGTTCTGTAAGCCCACAGAGCATCGTCAAGTTTCTTGCTCCAATCCTTTCTGGATGATGTCACGGTCCTTTCCAAAATGGCCTTTATCTGACGGTTGGAAACCTCCACTTGGCCGCTGGTTTGCGGATGATAAGGGGTGGCCACCTTGTGCTTTACTCCGTGCTTCTTCAAAAGACTCTCAAGAGTCTTGTTGATGAAATGGCTTCCCCCATCACTGATGACTACTCTTGGTACTCCAAACCGTGGGAAGATGATACTCTTGAAGAGTTTTACCACCACTTTTGAATCGTTGGTCGGAGATGCAACCGCTTCAACCCATTTACTCACATAATCCACTGCTACAAGGATATATTGATTCCCATATGAGCTTACAAAGGGACTCATGAAGTCAATGCCCCAACAGTCGAAGACTTCTACTTCAAAGATTGGGTTTTGGGGCATTTCATTCCTTTTGGATATGTTTCCGTGCCTTTGAAAAGCTTCACACCTCGAGACCACTTCCTGGGCGTCTTTGAACATGGTCGGCCACCAGAAACCGCTCTGTAGAACCTTGGCAACTGTCTTGAACGCACCTAAATGACCACCATACGATGAGCCGTGGCATTCTTGTAGCACTGGATGGATCTCTTCTTCGGCCAAGCATCGCATATAGAGATGGTCCTTGTTAAGCACGTAAAGATACGGCTCATCCCAATGATACCTCATCACATCTCTAAAGAAGTTCTTCCTCTGATAAGTATCAAGATCTGGTGGCTCTAATCCGCAAGACAAGTAGTTCACAAGATCCGCGAACCATGGAAGGCTTCTTTCCTTGATCGTATTGGCTTCCTCCACCTCTAAGTAAGACCGGACTAACATGAGATGTTCCTCGGGTAAAGCATCATCTATAGGGACCTGTTCTTCAATCCTCATCCTTGAGAGGTGATCTGCGGCTCCGTTTTCAATGCCCTTCTTATCAAGTATCTCCATGTCAAATTCTTGGAGCAATAAGACCCATCTCAAAAGCCTCGGCTTAGCGTCCTTCTTAGACATCAAGTACCTCGAGGCCGCGTGATCTGTGTAAACCGTGACCTTTGATCCCACTAGATAACTCCTGAATTTGTCAAATGCAAACACAATGGCAAGCATTTCCTTCTCGGTGGTGGCATACTTTTCTTGAGCCGAGTCCAAAGTGCGGCTGGGATAGTAGATCACATGGAGCTTCTTATCTTTCTTCTGTCCCAAGACAGCTCCTACAACATAATCAGATGCATCGGTCATCACTTCAAATGGTAAAGACCAATCAGGGGCTTGTACAATCGGTGCACTGATCAAAGCCTCCTTGATTCTCTTGAACGCTTCCTCACATTCTTCATCAAAGTTGAAATTCACTTCTTTGCACAATAACCTGGTCAAAGGCCTGGATATCTTGGAGAAATCCTTGATGAACCGTCTATAGAACCCAGCCTGGCCAAGGAAGCTTCTTATTCCTTTCACAGAATTCGGGGCTTGTAAGTTCACCATCACCTCGATCTTGGCCTTATCCACCTCGATGCCTTTCTCTGATACCTTGTGTCCCAAGACAATGCCTTCTTGGACCATGAAATGACACTTTTCCCAGTTTAAGACAAGCCTATGCTCCTCACACCGCTTGAGAACCTGAGAAAGATTAGCAAGACATTCGGAGAAAGAGGAGCCGTATACGGAGAAGTCATCCATAAACACCTCAACTTTCTCTTCAATTAGATCAGAGAAAATGTGCATCATACATCTTTGAAAAGTGGCCGGTGCATTACACAAACCGAATGGCATTCTTCTATAAGCATAAGTGCCATAAGGGCAGGTGAATGTCGTTTTCTCTTGATCTCGGGGGTCTATAGGTATTTGAAAGAACCCCGAGTATCCATCGAGAAAACAAAAATAAGGATGATTAGCTAACCGTTCAAGCATTTGATCAATGAATGGTAAAGGAAAATGATCTTTTCTTGATGCAGAATTCAATTTCCTATAGTCAATGCACATGTGATGGCCGGTTATAGTTCTTTGGGCTATGAGTTCATCCTTATCGTTTTTCACCACCGTGATCCCACCTTTCTTGGGCACAACGTGTACAGGAGATACCCACCGAGAGTCAGAGATTGGATATATTATCCCTGCCTCAAGGAGCTTTAGTATCTCCTTCTTAACCACCTCTTTGAGGTTCGGGTTAAGTCGATGTTGGTGCTCAATAGAGGACATGGCTTGGTCCTCTAGGTGGATCCTGTGGGTGCATATATCAGGAGAGATTCCTCTAATGTCAGCCAAGGAATACCCTATGGCTCTCCTGAATTTCCTTATTTCACTAAGTAATGCACGTTCCTCATGCTCAAGCAAGTTATCGTTTATGATCACAGGAAAGTAGAGTTTAGACCTAAGAATGCATACCTGAGCCCTGTTGGTAGAGGCTTGAGCTCAACAGGGGGTGCGTCTCCCTCATTCCAATCGGCATCAAAGCTGCATTGGCCCGGAACAGCTTCCTCGGCCTTTGCTTCATTCTCGCGCGGTTTACCATCGACCTCGGTATGAGTTGTCACGGCCATGATATCCCGAGGTGTCTCTTCTTTTCCCTTTGACTCCTCGCTTTCTAGAATGTCGAGGCTGCTCGTGTGGAGCTCGAAAAACCTCGCATCAGCTCCAAGTTCCCTCGGTTGGTCCAAAAGACGCTTGTATACCTCGCTTTCCTCGTTCAAGTACCCGTGCTCGCTTTGTTCCCGCGTTAAGACCACTTGTAACGGATCCTCTGCATTCAACTCTTCAAGGAGCTCATCAGCCAGCTCTTCCATTACCTCCACATAGAAAACCTGACCTCCAATGGTCGGTTTCTTCATCATTTCCTTCACGTTGAACTTCATAGTCTCGGAACCGATGTGTAGTTCAATCATTCCTCCTCTCACATCTATTATGGCTCATGCGGTTGCTAAGAACGGTCGGCCCAAGATGATAGGGTCTAATGGTTCCTCGTCCATCTCAAGAACTATGAAGTCCGTGGGGATTTCTATCTCACCGATCCTCAAAGGTAGATCCTCAAGCAACCCCACCGGTAATCTAACCGATCTATCAGCTAATACAAGAGAGATCTTGGCTGGCTTGTAGCTTTTGTATCCCAATCTCTTGGCCACCGTGTAAGGCATTAAGCTCACAGAAGCTCCAAGGTCACATAAACAGTTTGAGAACTTCAGGTGACCTAAAGCACACGGCAAAGTGAAGCTGCCCGGATCGGATAGCTTCCTTGGTATAGATCTTCTTTGTATTATGGCACTGCACTCATGGCTCAGTATCACCATACCCTGGAGCTCCTTTGTCTTGTTGAGGATCGCGTCCTTTAGAAACTTCCCAAGCTGGGGTATAGCTAAGAAAGCATCTATAATGGGTAAGGTGAGTTGCGTGTTCTCCAAGTGTTTCTCAAAGACCGCCTTGGCCTTGTCTAGGATTTTCTTTTTGAAACGCCCTGGGAACGGTATCTTGGGTTGATAAGGTGGTGGTGGAACATAGGGCTTTTCAAGCTCAGTTGTCTTTTCCACCTCTTTTCCTTTGTCCTTGATCGGTTCCTTCTCTAAGACCGCTTCTTTACAAGCATCGTCTGAGGCTGCCTCCCCCTCTAATTGCTCATTGGCCTCAATGAGCTTTGTCTTAAGCGTTGGAGTTTGTAATTCCTTACCACTCCTCAATGTGATGGCGTTCACATACTCTTTAGGGTTCGGCTCCGGTTTACCTGGTAAAGCCGGGCCTCTTGATGATGTAGAAGCTTGATTCTGCTTAAGCTCTCTGATATCTTGCTGCATTGTCGCGTGCTGGCTCTCAACCCTTTGCTGGCCCTGTAACAGTTGCTGTAGTATCCCACAGACGTCGTTCCCCATTTGATTCTGACCCGTTCCCTGAATCTGTTGTTGATTACCCATCGGTTGCGGATGGAACCCTGGTGGAAACTTGTGTTGCTGCGGTTGGTTGTTGAAGTTGTTACTCTGAGCCGCTTGATTCTGCTGAGTGTAGCCGTGCTGTTGCCCACTGAACTGTTGCTTGGGCTGGAAGGTATTCTGAAAAGGAGCCTTTTGAGCATAGCTTTGTTGTTGTTGTTGAGCAGGGTACACTTGGTCTTGAGGGTTAGCTACATTCGGGTTTCGGTATGAGAGGTTTGGGTTACTGTTGTAGTTGTTAAACCGCTGATACCTCTGCTGATTCCCTATGTAATTCAGCTCCTCTTGTGTTAGACCATCTTCATTAACATTGTCAAAACTTGGCCCTTGCTCATCAAACTCGCCTACAAAGTGTATTGGCTTTTGAGTCGCCATCAAAACCTTGTCAAGCTTACTCTGAAGCTCTCTTATATCCTTTTTCATGCGCTGTTCATCACTAGATCCCTCTGTACGGTTTGCTCTATCAAAGTCCTCTCCATACGTGTCATTGGACATGGCTAGGTTCTCAACTAGTTCCATTGCCGCAGTGATCTCTTTTCCAAGAAAATTCCCATTTGAAGCTGTATCGAGTTGGTTTCTGATCTTGGGGAGTGCACCTCGGTATAAAGTACTCAAGAGGGATGCCTCTGAGAAGCCGTGGTTTGGGCATTGGTTAGTGTAGCTTCTAAACCGTTCCCAAGCTTCACTAAAGCTCTCGTTATTGTGCTGCGTGAAACTTGAGATCTGATTCCTGAGCTTAGCCGTGCGTGATGTGGAAAAGAACTTTGATAAGAACGCCAGTTTACACTGCTCCCAGGTTTGTATAGAACCCCTCGGTATATTCTTTTCCCACTGGTGTGCTTTATCACCGAGGCAGAAAGGGAACAAGCGTAGCTTGAAGCTATCTTCGGAGACGCCATTTATCTTGGTTAAGTCGCAAACCCGATCAAATTGATCTAGATGCTCGAGAGGGTCTTCTCCAGCCAGACCGTGGAACTTTGAGTTTTGCACCATATTGAGCAGGGAAGCTTTAACTTCAAAGTTGTTGTTTTGAACTGGTAGAGCTTGAATCCCAGCTCGGTATTGGTGCGCATTGGCTCGGTCATTCTCTCCAACACATATTGGAGGATGTTGTCTCTGAACTTGGGGCGGTGGCGGATGAACATGATGGGCTTGTTGTTCATTTCTATTCGCTTGGTGTTGGTTTTGCTGAGCAAGCCGTTCATTTCTTTGAGCCTGTTGCTGATTAACATAGGCTTGTTGTTCATTTCTTCCTGCCTGCGCCTGATTAGCCTGAGCCTGGTGCTCGGCTGCCTGAGCCTGTTGCTCCATTCTCTGTTGTTCTGCCATTCCAAGTCTATCAAAGTGTCGTTCTCTCTCGCGAGCTCGCCTTTCTAATCTGTCGATGTTATCGTCGTATGGGAAAAGCGATCCTGTGCTCCGAGACCTGGTATTCATGCACCTGAAAACAAAACAAGAACTTGGAAAGAAGTTAGTAAAACAAAGGAAAGAAAAGCTTGAACTCAAGAACAAACAAGAGACTAATGCTCCTACAAGTTGCCAACGGCGCCAATTGATAACTAAGAGTTTTCAGGCTCTTAGAAGGGTTATCAATCCCCTTGTCAAAGTAGTATAAGGGGTGTCAAACCAAGCTTGTAAACGAGACACTAGCCTATGTCATTTGTTCACTTAAGTCAAGACAAGATAATAAAAGTTTGGTGACGATGATTAACAGGCAAATGAGCAATAAAGTTAAATAAAAGCAGAGATTTAAACTAATCAAGATGCAAATAACAAACAGGTGATTCAGATGATGGTAATGAATGATAAAGGCAGAAGCTTTAGACAGGATATTTGACTCGGGTGCTTCCAAGTTAGACTAAGGGGCTAATGAATCATTTTATCAAGCGATTTCATTTGACTTTGAACTCAAGGCACGTTAATCTTCTCATGAAAGTATTAAACGTCTAAACTGATCCTCTTTCATACCAAAATCCCTTTTGAGAAGCACGAATCAGTCACCAATAAGAATCGGTTCAAAAACGTCATTTAAGAGAACAAACTATCACTCTCGCAATGAAAGACTCTTAAACCCTTAAACGAATGGTTCAGACATTTCTACAATCACTTCTGATGCGAGATATGTCTCAGATCTGAACCTCAAGTGATGTGCTTGGATCCAGCTTAGAGATCTCGTCGGTTAAGGAATGAAACATGCAAGACTAGACACCTAAACCCATTAATCCACCTTGAAAGCACCCTAATCTACCTATCTAAAGCCGCTTAAACGACTACTCACTGATCATAACGAGCTCACTAAGTCCTTTGCAAGACGTGTAGCTAGTCATGATAAGGAGTTTGATGTTGGATGATAAAAGATATAAAGAAAGAACAAGATTCTGATTCAAAAAAGAGATATCGGATTAGATTAATTAAGTTTCACAAAAGAGGCAAGTTCTTAGAGCTAAAAACAGATAAGAGATAAGATAACTAGGTTTTTAGTCTCAAAATGTATTTATAGCAAAGGGAAAGTGTCGCGGGTCAGCCCGGAACAAACCGGGTACTGAACCGCCTTCTTGGGTTGATGGGTGAGTGCCACGGTGTGTCGGAAAGTGAAGCCGAGGTCTTCATGCCGAGGCGTGCACGTGAGTCAGGATCCAGATGAGATCTCGTGAAACACGTCAAGAACATGCATGAACCCTAGTCTTTGATCTATCCTCACGGGTATGTTCTTGAGCCATTCTGTTCTTGATTCTGGGTTCGTGACAAGGGACCTCGGGATAAAATATCGAGGGGTCATGATGTCGAGGTGCTTGGGAGAACACAGTCCGGCATGCACGCCGAGGTCATTACACCGAGGTGTACTTTCAACACTTAGTCGTTTCCAGCTTCAGTTCTTACGTATGCATGCCTCGATCTAACCATGCCAAGGCTTTGGCACGAGGTCTAGTCCAGAATACTTCCAAGATACGAGCCTAGACTTGAGTGACGCCAAGGTAAAGATACCGAGGCTTGTGAAAATACTTAGCGCGTATCGCAATTCTTTTAGGCTTGTATCGAATATGTCACCTTCCGGAAGCAGTAACTTTCAGCACACGACTCCAATTGCTCTGGGACCAGTGCCACAGTCAATATGACTCAATAAGCTCTAACTTTGGTGAAGAAACCATCGGAGCTTGGGGAGTGGAAGGCTTCCTGGATTTAACATCTTTGGGCCGCATTGAAATCACCGGAAAATAGACTTTTAGACCGATGTGAACTCCGGAGACCCTATCTTCCAAACCTTTGCTCCGAATTGAGCGACTCCAAATGCTCTGAGAAGATCTTCCATGTATCTCGAACTTTGGTGAAGACCGGGTAAGCTGGTTCGGTCTGGAGGGGCTCCGTCCGCCATGATCTTTGAAGTTCGCCGTTCAGTTCTCGGGTACGCGCAATGCTGGTGAATGCTCCGGAAGCCATATCTTTCTCTCCACTGGTCCGAATTGGATGATTCCAACTGTTCTGGAATCTTTGCTTGATTATCTCCATCTTTGGTGAAGACCCCGCCAACTGATTCGGACCGGAAGGTTCCCCGGATTGCTGATCTCTGAATTGCGCGGGCAAGGACAACTTTTGGTCGTAAAATCCTTCCCGCGGTAAGAAAAATGGCTGAGGGCTGTGTACCGCGGTAAGCTTTTTGGTCGTAAAAATTCTTGCATCGGTCAAAAACTTGTCCTGTGGTATTTTTGCACTCGATACTCGATTCTGGCCGATCGGTAAGGTTTTTGGCCGGTAATGAGCGTCCGGTAAACATTTTGGCCGAGGTTTCCGACCAGCCGGTACGAGATTTGGCCGAGAAATTCCTCCAAGCGGTTTTCACCATTTTTTACCCTTTTCTTCACCGTCTTCTTAGGCTCCAATTGGTCTCCAAAGCTCCTGATAAAGACTTCAAAACATGCAAAACTCTTTGGGACCTAATGCAAGCCCTAAGTCCTATTTTAACGCCTAAAGACTCAATTTACATGAGAAAACACATGATGAGGACTCTATAATGCAATCTAAATGATGTAAAATATAGACATATCAGTCTTGACCTTATGGAGAATTCAAACTTGCCTTTCTCTGTAGGTGTTGGCTGGTGTTTCAAACGCAGAATAGGATTCACAAAAGAAAGCCGCAGCGTCGTATTCAATGATTGAATCGATGTATGGCATCTTTATCTTGCTGCATATCGGACTTCTTGGATTGAAGAGTCAGCTGAATCTTCAACACACTCCCTTGCCATCATACAAGGTAATGATTCCTGCCAATCTGTTTCTTCATCTGAAACTTGGTTTTCTTCTTCCTGAGTTGCTTTTTTAGGTGCTGGAGGTTGAAGTTGGGACAGAAGATGTATTATTTTTCTCTCAAATCCCGGAGGTGAATCTGAGCGACCGC